CTTTGGCCAAGGTTTCACCCAACATCATGGATGAGTTTTAAATCCTTAGGGTAACACCATCCTATTACATTGTGAAGTTGCTCTAGTGCCGATTTTGTTACTTAAGAGCCATTAGTGACTGGGTCGTTTCTTCCCAAGGAACACAGAAGAATATATCAATCTTCCAAATTCTGAACACCAGCCACAGCCACTGGGCCTCGCTGCCAGGAGTGCATGCAGCTTTGGCACATGGGGGTGGCTCTTTTGTGAGTAAGGCTGGGGTTTGAGGGCCAGTGCTGTGTAAATTTGTGGGAGGGCTTCAGTCTCTTTTCTAAATGCCCAAGAGATTTGGCTCCAAAGATACAGAAGGGTGCTCATCGGATTTCTGCTGCAAATTCTCATGTTTTCTGCAAGCTCTGGCGCTCCATTTGGGAGTCCAACTACACTGCATCCCAGATAGAGAACCCGCCTATGCTTCCTTCACTGGAACTGGAGTCCAGTTGGGCTTGGAGGCAGGAATAGCATTCACTGGATTGGATGTGGATGGCATCCATAGAACTCTTGATGGGGCCTGCCAGGTGTCAGAACATGCTCAGTCTGTCTTGAGCAGAGAGGATGACGGCTGCTGCCTTGGGGCTACTAGAGGTTCAGAGTGACTGGACACTGTAGGCACGCTGATGACAGGGGACAGGTCTTGGTGTCCTGCTGGGGAGATATTCTTTTGCCTCAGGGCTTGTTTATCAGGACAGCTAGAGGACTCTGTGAGAGGATGCCCCTTGGCCAGGTGGAGCCATCTCTCTGACCCTATTCACAGACTGTGTAATGAGGACTCCGTGTCTGCCCGTTGGGTCACAGATGAGTGACCAGAATGCAGGTCAACAACTCAAACTTCTCTTTAGAAAATCTTTTTAGGCTGGAATTCTACCCAGAAACAGCCTGCCAGCTGCCTTTGCACCTTCAGCCCTCATCCCACCATGGGCTGTGTCATAAAAGAAGCTACCTTGATGTCATTACTGGTAGCCCCTGGCTGGATCAAATTCCATGACTTAGGAAAAAAATGATTCTGTCCCTAAGACATCAGCAGGTTGTCCGTGGCCCACTGCCTGGTCCCAGTATGGAGCGCCTCCCCACGGGGATGGGTAGCAGGCTCCGGAGGAAAGTTTTGTCGGTTCTCCTTGGAGAATCAACCACACCAGGGGTGATCCTCACTATGCCCTGTTGGCCTTTCTGAATCTGCACTGTGACACAGCTGCTCGAGCCCAGCACACCTAGCCAGCATCCAGCAAAGTGGTTCCGTCCATCATATCAGAACACACTTCAGGGTCCCATTTAGAGCCCATCTTGCCTCAAATTGAAATGCACACATTGGCCAAGCAGTCTGGCTGGAAAACACTACCTCTTTCACAGTCATGAGCTCATGGCTATAAGCCGACCTGTTGGCCACTTTTCTTCTTACGGCATTCAGGTTTGGTGTGGAAACAGAGCCTCTTGGTTGCAAAGATGGGAACAAGACAATAACACGGTAAGCAGATGTGACACTCAAGACCTCTCTCACAGGACCACTGCCAGTCGACTCTTCCCAGTGTGATTCCCCCAACCAGATCACTCCTGGGTGCTTGAAAACAGCCTTGGCACCAAACCAAAGGAGTGATGGGCTCTCTAGGTCAACCGTAATCAGCACACTGATGGCATCATGGATGCCGCGCAATGTGCTGGAGGGTTCACAAGGCTCCCAGACAACGTGGAGGAGCGTGCAATCCCCAGAACCACACGGCTGCTGTGAGATCACCTTTCAGAATCCAGTTTCTTTCGTCCACGTAAGGTATGACTATGGGGACTGTGCCACTTGGGACCGTGCCCCTCACTGCTCTGGCAGCTAAGCCAGCAGCAAGTGCCTGTCATCAACAGCTGGAGCCGTCCTGCTCTGGTCACGAAGGTTTGTTACCAAGAGTTCAGTCCCTGTCCCTGGTGCCAATCTGTCGACAGATGAGAAGGTAGCAGACCCCAGGGTCTCAAGGATTGCTCCAGTGTGGGGTGAAGGTGTGTGGGGCTGATAAAGGGGCTCCAGGATAGGGGTGCTGATGAGGCAGAATCATGAGAGCTGGGCCTGGCGCGATAGCGTAGCGGCTAAAGTCCTTGCCTTGAACACGCTGGGATCCCATATGGGCGCCGGTTCTAATCCCGGCGCCGGTTCTAATCCAATAAAAATAAATAATAAATCTTAAAAAAGAAAAAAGAATCAGGAGAGTTGTAGGTCTCTGGTGTCACTAGATGGACGACAACACAGTCCTTCTCGCTCTGTCACGGTGGTCCTTGAGCCCAGAGGCGATGAGATCCAACCTTGCCTGACCACGTCCTGCTCTGCCAGAGAAGTTAAAGTAAGGAACAAGGCAATGTGTCTTCAGACATGGGTGAGCAGGGAGCTGGAGTCCAGGCCTATAGCCTCTGCTGGCCAGCTTCCCACTCAAGGTATGCAACTGTTGAGGTCTGGTTACAGTCCCAGACCTTCCTCCCAAGACTCCTCTGAAAAGCATGAGAAAAGATTTGCCTTAAAAAAAAAAAAAAAAGCTTTATTTAAGCTTTGCTTTTGCTTATTCACTAATTAAGAAAAAATTTTATTTTTATTGGAAAGTCAAATTTACAGAGAGGAAAGATCTTCCACCCAATGATTCACTCCCCAAGTGAGCACAGTGGCTGAGCTGAGCTGATCCAAAGCCAGGAGCCAGGAGCTTCAGTCTCCCACACCGGTGCAGGGTCCCAAGCTTTGGACTGTCCTCGACTGCTTTCCCAGGCCACAAGCAGCAAGCTGGATGGGAAGTGGAGCAGCCGGGATTAGAACCAGCGCCCATATGGAATCCTGGTGAATGCAATGCTAGGACTTTAGTTACTACTCTACCATGCTGGGCCCAAGGTTCTCCTTCTGTTTGTGCCTTTGAGTGCCTGATTCTTAGGCACAGGACAGAGGTTAGCAAAGAATCTAACATGGAGCCAGGAGAGAGGAGGAATTCTGTCCACAGCCTGAAGCTGAGCCAGTCCCTCCACCCTGCCCAGCCTCCCACACAGGCAGCAAGGATCCACTGACTGCTCAGTCTCCCACACCCCGGAAGTCAGCAGGGTCTGTGCGTTCACCCGGCCAGGAAAGGTTCCTGCATTCCAGAGTCAGGTGTTGACTCAGCCAACCCGAGGCTAGGAGTTCTCTCTGCTTCTCATTCTGTATCCCTGCCATAAGACTGAACACATTCCCTAAAACGTCAAACAACCTCAAAGACACACTTTCTAACATAGAGGAGACAATAGCCACTGTTCCATCCTCCAGTTTCCCAAGGCCCCAAGAAGAGTTGGGATGATTTCAGTGAGGATCTGAAGTGTTCCTGAGATTTGAACCCATGGCCCACACTGGTGTTACTTAAATTTAGGGCTCAGGTGAGAACGCCATCAGCAGAATGGCCATCAGCAGAATGGCCACAATATGCTGCTCTGAGTGTTATTTCTAGGCTCCTGCCATTTTTTTTTTTTTAATTTAAAAAAAAAAATTTTTGTGGCAGAGAGGCCACACAACACTCCCATATGCTGGTTCACTTCCGGTGTGTCCATAGCAGCCAGGACTGTGCCAGGCCAAAACCAGGAGGCAGACTTAACCTAGGTCCTCCCTGCCTGAGAATGGCAATGACCCACTCACTGGCGCCATCACCACTGCTTGCTAGCGGCTAAGCTGGCGGGAAGCTGGAGGCAAAGCCAGCCACCCTACCCAGGCAGTCAGATGTGCTACACGGGCACCTTCACCACTGGGTAATCACCTGCTCCTCTAGGCCCTTATTGGGATGGTTCTACAAATTTGCATGGGTGGAATAGCAGTAGTTGAATTTGCATGAGTTGGGAATAGCAGTATTTGAAATAAAATGCAGTTTCTGTCTGCTCTGCAAGGACTTGAGGTCACCGTTTGATTCTTGCCCTGGGACTGGGGGAAAAAGACCTCGGGAGCTTCCAAAGAAGCATGCTCTCCTGGTGGAAAGGCCAGTGCAAGGCTGGCGGAAGGGCAGCTCTGCCACAGCCTGCATCTTAGGAAGCGGACCCTCCCCAGGGGCACACTGCCCATTCACCTGCCAGCCCCAGAAGGAACATGGCCCCCAGGGACACACTGCCCACTCACCTGTCAGTCCCAGGAGGAATGCGGTCTCTGGGGGCACACTGCTCACTCACCTGTCAGTCCCAGGAGGAATGCGGTCTCTGGGGGCACACTGCCCACTCACCTGCCAGTCCCAGGAGGAAGGCAGCCCTGGGGCACACTGCTCACTCACCCATCAATCCCAGGAGGAACGCAGCCCCCAGGGGCACACTGTGGCAAGGGCAGACAGAATGGCCCTCAGTGTTTGCTCTTGTCCATTTCACTGTGTCCTGCTGACATCGCTGGCGTGTGGCTCATAGTGGGAAGTGGACTCCAAAGCATCCGGGAGCAGCAGAAGTGGGGACAACAGAAGCTCAGCGGCATGGAGATGCAGCCACTCTCCTATTCCACTCTCCACCTGTGCTCCCTGCCTGCAGGGACCCACGTCCAGCTCACCACACAAGTGAGCTGGCTCCTTCCTCCCACGGCTGCCACCTCGGGATGGATTGCAGACCAGGAAGCAGCCTGCACAGGTGCACTGCCACTCTCAAACTCTCCTCCCCGCTCACCAGTTCCTCCAAGCACATGCCCTGGAAAATATGTTCTGAGAGGACAAACCTAGCATGCTACAGCTGTTCCATTGCTGACTGGGTGGCCAAGGGCCGGACACCCTCTGTGGACATCCTTGAGGGGGTGGGTCGGGCTTCCCAACCTGCAGGCCCTGTCCTTCTGGCCAGGCTGCCTTCCTCACTGTGGCCCTGGGGCCAGCATCTACTGCACACACTACAGGGAGTGCCCCTGCACTGAACCTGCTACACCATCAGCATCTCGACTCCTGGTGAGACTGAAGAAGCACCTGACTCATGTGTTCTGTGCTGAGAGAAGGGGGAAAAAAAAAGAGCAACAGTCCAGGCGGTTCTGATCCATGCATCCTTTATTCCATTACCAACCACTGGGTCCCATCCAAGCAACAGTACACAAACTGGCAATCGCCTGTAATCCAGTTGTACAACGATCTGAGGCTTACAGTACATTTAAGGCTTTTAAATTTCAGAAAAAAAAAAAAAAGAAAGAGAGAGAGAGAAATCAAACCAAAGAAGCCCCAAACCCACACCCCCAACCAACACAAGCAGTGTAGCAATTTGAAGCGCTCAGCGTTCTTCCCAATGCCTCTATAGCGCCCGCTCCAGTGTCAACACCCAGAGGAAGTTCCTCAACTAAAAAAGATTTGTCTCGTGAAATTTTCAGAAAGTCTCCAAAGCATAAACTTGGAAGTTTCATCTTGCAAATGTTATAAAATTTTTTTAATAGCAAAACATAGGAATAAAAACGTATTAACAAAAGGTGTTCAATCATTTACATTACAAACAAGGAAGTGTGCGGTTCATCGTTGTAGCCTGACCAAGGGGGGAAACTACCCATTAAGAATCTATGCACGACGGCATTGCAAATATGTACAGTACTGCTTAAAAAGTCTCCTGGGGGGGACTTCAGTGAAGCCAAGTCCCGCGAGGCTCTTGGTTAGATCTGCCAGACACTCCAAATAGGAAAACTGCTGGCTGGTAAGAAATGTACACTTTAAAAAAACAAAATAAAAAAAACCCCAAAACCAACCCCAGTGTGAGAGCCTTCCAGTTCTACTTCATGGGGCTGCAGTTGATGAGGCTGTTCCAGGAATTTCCAGGAAGCTAATTCTCCAGTGTGTGTGTTTGGGGGAGACTTGTCCTAGAACCAAAACGAGTTAAAGGGGTTTTCACCATGAAAGCTTTCCAGTGATGCTACCGACAGCAGCACTAGTGGGTCTGGACCCACCCGTCTGGCAACTGAGACGAGAGCCCGACAGGTGTCCGACGCCGGGATGGACAGCGGAGATGGGACGGGGGTGGGGGAAGGAGCAGGGGGCAACACGAGACCAGGGCACGGTCCCCATGCTCGGCTCATGGGCCTCTTCCGGCAAGGTCACAGAGCTGGAGCCTGGGACCGCGGGAGTTGAACCTGTGGTGGGGACTGCGCAGAACCGGCTGGCGATGCAGGAGACGGGGACAGTGCTGGCTCTTCGAGGAGGACACCGTGAAGGCTGGGAGCGCAGGCTGGGCGCAACTGTCTCCACGAGCTGTCACAGTCACAGCAGGTGCGGAGAGGAGGGCCCTTCTGTCCACAGCAGATGAGGTAACGGGGGCTCGTCGTCTTCAGGAGTTAGGGAGCTCGTGAGAGATGAACTGTTTTAGTCTTTCCAGGTACTGTGCATAGAGCTCTATGTCGTTATGCCCGGCCCCCTCCACCCACAGGGGCTCCACGGCCCGGGGGCAGCGCTCGTACATGGCCAGGCCATGGGAGAAGTCGATGACCTCATCCTCTGTCCCGTGGATGACCAGCACGGGAGAAGTGACTTTGGATATCTTGTCAATGCTGCAGAGAGAGGCGGGGTGGGGAGAGACAGGCCTGTGTTAGCCATTGCCGCAGAGCACACTTGCGACTCTCTAGCACTGAGGCGAGAAGCAGCCTCAATCTTGGAGGGTTAACAACTGAAGAATTCGGAGCACCTGAGGCCCTGGGACATGGTGGGTTCTGCCCCCACCCGTGATGCCAGCATCCTCTAGGAGCGCTGGTCCCTGTCCCAGCTGCTCTGCCTCCAATCCAGCCCCTGCTAATGGTGCCTGGGGAAGAGCAGAGGATGGTCCACGTGCTGAAGGCCATTCATGGAAGAAGTTTAGATGAACTTTCGGGCTTCTGACTGTGGTCTGGTCCAGCCATGGCCACTGCAGCCATCTGGGGAGTGAACTAGCAGACAAGTGTGCTCTGTCTTTCAAATAAATACATACAGCAAAGTGGCACATGTCACAAAGTATGAGTATTTTGAGAAGTCTGTAGGGAGGGGAATTAAAAGTTTATTCTGATGTTAAAAAAATTTTGTTGAAATCCACATGCACTTTTCCAAGACCCCTTATACATCACAATGGTCTGGCTCCCTGGCCCCTGCCCATTCTTTCCTACCAATTCATTCTTATACTTTTCATTTTTAAAGAGCTTTGGCTTTATGCGGAAGGAGCAAAAATACTGGAGCGTTTTGCATACCCTACCCCATTTTCCCAGAAGCCTAATGTCACCCATCACATCACCGTACTTTTGTCAAACGAAGAGGCCAGTGTCCGATTTTGCCACTTACCAAACTCCAGGCTCATTCTGCATGTCACTCATTTTTCCCACTAGTGTCCCTTTCTCCTCTACGATCCTAGCTGACTGCCCCCTTGAGACGTGGACGTGGTCAAGTCCTGGCTACCCCCAAGCTCCTGAGGCGGCTTCCTGCTGACAGACTCGACAGGCAGCAGATGAAGAACACCCAGATGGAGTTCTCGGCTCCTGGCTTCTGCCTGGTCCAGCCCCAGCTGTTATGGCCATTTGGGGGAGCGAATCAGAGGACGGTCCATCTCCCTCTCTTTCTTTCTGCCTGACAAATAAATAAATCCTAAAAAAAAAAAAATCCCATTGCATGTAGTCACAATATCTTTGTTATTTTACTTAAGACAGAGTCCTAAAGACATCAAATGAATTGGCTACTAACTGTATTCATATTGTTGTGAGGATTTTTAAAGAAAATAAACATGTTTGAATAAATACGTCTTTGGAGAGTGGCACATTTAATCCCCTGCCTCACATGTTTTCCGAACTCTGCTTAACGAGACAGAGACTCAACGCATTTGGCACACACCCCACATCCAAGTGCCTCAGTTTGAGCTTAGCTCCACTCCGATGCCAGCATCCTGCCAGCAGGCAGGGTGGTTGGCTGGAGCGACTGGGTCCCTGATCACCCACATGGGCGACCTGGACTGAGTACCCAGGGTCAGGCTGAGGTTCCGACCAGGGGCATGTGGGGGAGATGAGCCAGTGGACGGGGGACTCTCATACTCTGGCACTCTCCCTCTCCAGCCAAAACAAAGAAATTAGAAAAAAAAACCTCTTAAATAACATTTGAAAACCCCATTTGATTCCACTGCATAAAAGCTAACATCTCATTCTGTGATCCAAAATAAATTACTCAGCTTGAAAACTTCATGCCACACCTGGAATGGATTCCAAGCGGTTTCTGTTTACAAGCCTGAGATCTGCACTCCAGGGATGAGCAAGTGTTTGCGCGCGCGCGCGCGCGTGTGTGTGTGTGTGTGTGTGTGTGTGTGTGTGTGTGTGTGTGTAGGGAATCTTCAAGGGACTGCACTACAGACTGAAAGCAAACCCCCAGTGGAACTCAAGGCAGGCCATCGTCTGGGGCACGGGGTGCTGGGGGACACTGCTGCTGGATGCCGGCCACTCAGCTCTGAATGGCTCGAGGCAGAAGGCTGCGCCTTCCGCCTGTCCTCCTGCCAGAAGCTTCTCACAGATGACCTCTCTACCCATCCTGCAGCCTGACTCACGAGGACATGCAGTGGAACTGCCTGTAACGGGCAATACTACATGTTTACCGTGGCTGCAATCCCACAGACTTTCCAAGGAGACTCAAGGGCAAGGGCCGAGGAGGGCACGGAGGCTCAGGGAAGTCTGTATGTGGCACCCACGAGGCTGCAAGCACAACCAAGAATGTTCCAGAAGCTGCTAACACCTTCTGGAGGCCTTGGGGAGACGGCCCACGCTCACGCCCCATGTTGTTGATAGGAAAGGGTATGTTAAGTGACTTCCTATTGGTCAGGGAAACGCTTCTTCAGTGGCTGCCCTGGGTCTGGGTGAGGCTTCAGGCTAAACACCAGGGTCAGGGAGGCTGAAAACAAACAACTACGGATGCAGTAACAGCCAGGGAACCCTCATTCTTCACCCTCACAACACGGACAGGGGTGGGGCGTAGATGCAGAGGTAACATCCCCTGGTAGCAATGGACACTGCAAGGAAAAGTTCGTAAATCGACTGATGAGGGTGAAGATCAGTGCAAACTGTGATGGGCTGAAATCTACCCTGATGCATCAATACCCTAACTGATGGTGTTGAGTACTAGCAACAGCTAGCTTGCTGCGTCCAATCAGCTCTCTGCGCCTTGGTTTTCCCATCTATAAACTGGGTATGCTCCCTGGACTGGCTCCTGGAGGCACCATGAAGACAAAAGGGAAACCAGCCTGGTGTATCAAACTTGAAGATGAGTGCTAATGTTGCCGACTGCTCAGTTACTGCGTTGTCAGGGCTGTGTGGGGGCGGGGAGATTTAATCATTTTGTTTGTTGCCAAGGTGATGCCTGGCAATGCTGCCCACAAACACGCTAGGCACCTGCCTGTCAAACTGGCTTCCTGTTACCAAGTCTGCAGAGAGAACGAGGGAGACGGAAGGCTGTGCTGGAGGCACACAGGGTCACACCATGGGAATTCTGCAGAGGGGCTCTCCTGAGGGCACAGGGCAGTAGGGTTCTGCCCTGGGGGTGGGGGACAAACGGTCATGTGATGACAAGGCACAGTCGGCTAGTTTCCAACAAAGCAGAACCGCAGCAATTACCGGGGCCACTCAGGCTCCCCACACCGCCCATTACTGGCTGCTGACGTGTGTTCTGGGCAGCAGATCTGGCCGGCCCGCCGCCACTCAAGAAGCTGCTGAAGCAACGAACTGTGGGGACAGATGCTTTCATTAAAAATATCATCCTCATCTTAAAAGAAGCCAAGTGGATGCTTTCCGGCAGGCCGGTGTACTCACTGCCTTGGCATCCACGGTGCAGCTTTTTCTTTCTTCCGAGGGCGGGAACGAGCAGGAGGCTGGGTGTCCAGGTTCTTGGCTGCACACCCCCAGAATGGGTGCCCAGGTTCTTGGCTGTACACCACCAGGATGGGTGTCCAGTTTCTCAGTGCACAACTTCCAGGATGAGACTTCCTGGTAGGAGTGGTGAACAGGGTTCCCGCACACTGTGTCCCCGAGACTGGGTGCCAAGGATCACAACCTGCCTCGCAAGGAGACCCCTGGATCTATCAGGCGTGTTTGCCGAGATGGATTAAGTTACAGCACCACTCCCTCACCTGCGCCCTGGCACTCTGCAAACTCCAGGACAGGACTTGTGTCCGTGGGCTCCAGGACTCTAAAGCCTCGCCCATGAGCGCCTTTAAAGTGTTCGTGCAGACACGTGTCACAGGAACCATGTGTGGATTTTGAAATGTTCTGGGCCCAGACATAAGCTTGCCTTACTTTCACTCTTCACCAACTTGCCGAAGTATCATCATGTTTCTGAATGAAATGGGAAAGGTCACACCTGTGCTTGCTGGTGGCGTCTGCTGGAGCCTGACCACTGCTCAGGCCTCGTCACACAGCTGGCACCTGCTCTCTGCGACTCAGCGTCGCATGATGTTCTAAACGAACAAATACTCAACAACAAGTTTTTACACGTGGGTAACTTTTTTTTAAGGTTCATGATTATTATTATTTTTTTGAAAGACAGAGTTATAGAGAGAGGACAGAGATCTTCCAATCCATTGGCTCACTCCCAAAATGGCCGCAAGGGCTAGAGCTGGGTTAGTTCAACTCTGGGAGCCAGCAGCAACTTTCAGGTCTCCCACAAGGCTGCGGGGGGCCCAAGGACTTGAGCTGTCCTCCACTGCTTCCACAGGCGCTTTAGCAGGGAGCTGGATCAGAAGTGCAGCATCTGGGACTGGAGCTGGCACCCGCATGGGAGACTGGCACAGTGGGCGGAGGCCTTAGCCTGGTGTACCATAGTGGTAAGCCCCCTGGTTTTGTGTGAATCCTGCATGTCACAGCAAAGCCACTTACTCAGAGATAGGGATATGCTCCCAGTCCTTGCACCACCACATCCCAGAGCCTTTCACAGATGAGGTGAGCCCAGTGGGACAAAGTGTCTCAACAGTGTCCCCGGTCCTTGCGTACCCCTCAGTCACCCCCCCCCCGTGGGTGTCCGAGCTCACGGTCTGAGCCACGCTGGACTCAACACACAGCTCCTGGCAGCATCAGGTCTAACCTGGTGTCAGATGGCACAGGTTAGACCACATGGCTGGCCTTGGGGACACGCACTCACCTGGGGAAGGCGTCGAAGCAGTAGGTCTTCCTGGTGTCGGGGAAAGCCACGCGCAGACCGGACATCAGGGGTGAGTGCAGGATGACAGCTGCGCACTCGTACCGTGAGGCCAGGTCCACGGTGGGCACGGTCCCGATGCTCTGCCCGTACAGGATAATGTTCTCAGGACTGACGCCATAGCTGGGGGAAGCACAGGTGGCATGCTGTCAATGGCCATGTGACAGCAGAGCGTCACGGAGAAACCCAGCATCCCCTGAACCCACACGATCCCGTGGCCACCAGCTGGCCACCCCACCGCCCATCTCACACATGGGAGCTTAACACAGACACAACCTTAACACACACACACACACACACAAATGCTGGCATCCATCTCAGAACCAAGCGCAAGATCCTATCTTGGTGACATTTTGCGATCCTAACCAAGATGATGCCTTTCCAAATAAATCTGTTCTCTCCAGTGGCTCACATGGCCACCTCTTCTCCCAACGTTTTCTCTTCCAGTTGCTGACGTGTTTCTTCAGGAGAAATGGGCAGGCTTGGCGAATTCTAACATGAAAAATGTTTCAAGTGGTGCTTTCATGATGGCAGAAGCGCTGATGTCATCAGAAGCAGGTCTGGTGGCGAGGCAGTGAATTTGAAGACAATCCCTGCTTTGGCATCCCTCCACGGTCTCCTCCCACGGTTTGTGGGTGAGTAGCTGTGTGGAATGCAAGCTGCATCTCCCAGCCTCCCCTGTAGGTTAGGGAATCCTGAGGCCCAGGCTCTGGCCAATGGGATACAACCCAAGTGACACTACCCAACCCCCAATGCCAGGTGGTGGCTTTAAAGAGACTCTTGCATGCTCAGCCTTTTCCGTTGGCCCTCCCTGTTAGCGGGGAGCAGGTGCAAAGAACACAGCACCTGGGTGATACACACACAAGCATGAGAAGATGGGACATGCAATGTTCTCTGACAGCACAAGATGCAAGTAACATGGACAAGGGGTGAGGGTTGGCAAGATGGTGAGGGTTGGCAAGGACATGCCAGAGTGCAGGTCTGTGACCCCTGCATCTGTGTAGGAACAGGCACAAGCCCTGTGGGGAAACAAGGATAAGACTGGTCCGGCGGATGCCAGTGACCTGAGAGCACACACCTCTGACAGCAGCCTGCAGTGAGAGCTGACAGCCTGTTGGGGTGGTGGGCTTCACCCTGCTCTGTTCCCTTCCTCCAGTACAGTGACAGTGGGGCCCTGAAGGAGGAATTCTGGGGCAGGGATGACCGTCCTGGCTCTCTGTAATGCATGACAGTGGGGATACACGACTGGAACCCACAGAGGTGGATGGCCACACCATGGCAGCCCCAGAGGCTAGGGTGGGGCATGTGGCTGGGAAGAGACTCCACAGGAAGCTGCCGCTCTGAAGGAGCTGTATGTGTACCCAGGGCTAGGTGGCAGGGAGTTTGGGTTATTTCCCTTCATTTTAAATGGTGATTTGCTCTCTTGTGGAGATGTGCTACAATGGCAAGAGGTTAATGAGTCCTTCCAGCAGGCACCACCTTTAGGGGAGCAGAGAACAGTGGTGGGGGCGGTGATTGACAGACATCTTTCTTAATGGGCTCCTGGAAGCCTGTTAAAAGTCAGTGCAGCTGTTCCAGGGACGCAGGGCAGGTGAGTGGAGCCTGGCTGTGTCCCGGTCCCATTCTCCCATCTCTGCTTTGCCCAGGGCATTTCTGGAAGGGGTGTAACTTCTTGGCCCCAGGTCTGCCCTTCCATGGAGCAGGGGATTCCCTGCAGCCCTTCTGCACTTCAAGGATCTTCTCCACCCTTGTAGGTATGCACTCCTGGTCTCTTTGCCATAGATAGCTCACGTCTCTGAACCCAGGAAAGTACTTGTTTCCATCTGTGCTCCCTACTCCAAGCCACAGCTCCAATTCTCGCCCCCACACTCCCACTTCAATGCCATGGACTTCCCGGATGCTTAACCCTAAGCCCCGGGAAATCCACCTGCAACCCCTCCTGGGTCCTGCTGTTGGAAGAACCAAATCCAACAGCTCAGCTCAATGCACACCTGCTGAATGACGACCTTGTCCATGAGCTCCAAGGCCTGGCCTTTGTGACCCGGAGTCTTGGCGTCTCCACCCATCTCCACCCGTCTCCACCCCAGACGCACTCAACTCCCTGTCACACGCTGGGATTTTTTCTCGCTGACCTCCCCACACCCAGCCGCAGCTCCAATACAAACTCAAAGCTGGCTGCAGTGGCCAACTATGTGTCCACCTGACCGGGCCAGGGATGCCCAGTAGGCTGGCTAGGGATTCCAGCCCAGTGGGGAAACAGCACCTCAGGGTGTGTCTGAAGAGTGAGTAGGGTGGTTCTGCCCTCCCCATGTGGGCAGAGCCACATCCAACCTAACAAGCACCCCTTTGCAGAGCAAAGGCAGTGGGGTGGATTCTCTGCCAAGGAGAAGTTCAAGTGAAAGAGAAGCGGGAAGAGCTGCAGGATTTGGTGTGACAGCAGCTGGCAGGAGAGTGGAGGTAGACTCCAGCGGGCTTAGGGTTGAGGGTACAGGCTGGACACGGTCTGTCGCTTAGAGCACGAAGCAGGCAGGAAGGGCACATTCTCGAGCTGGGACGGTCTTCTGCTCTGGGGCCCTGAAGTCCCTGGTGCTCAGGCCTCTGAGCCCTGGCCTTCACCCTCTCTCCCTCCTCAATCCCCTGATTTCAGATCAGCACACTCAGACTGAAGCATAACACACCAGCTTTCCTGGTTCTCAAGCTTCCAGTGGCAGAATGCGGAGCATCCCATAAACATCCCTGATGTCGATCATGAATCTCCCTTGCATGTATGTGTGCATGTATTGGTGTATAACCACCCTTCTGACCACATCTATTCATCCACCCATGTCCACCCACCCACCCCTCCCATATCTATCTATCCACCCAGCCATCCATTTCCTACTGGCTGTGTTTTTGGAGAAATCAGACACTGACGAGTTCCATCAGCCTTCCTCTTCCTCCTAAGCCCCAGAGCAGAATGTTCCCTAAGGACACGTTCCCTGTCTAAAGACAGGGCAAGTGGACAAAAGGAAATGGCTCTTGAGACCTCTATCCCCTGTGCCATTACTGACCTCACAACACCAAACAACCAATCTGATTTTTACCTTCCTGCGATCCTGTGAGGAACCATTCTGGACCCCATTTATTCAGAAGAGACTCAAGGGCGACAGTTGGGTAAACTTCTGTGAGTTCCTGCAGCTGGGGAGTGGCAGGGCTATGAACTTGCTGCAGCTCCCTGACACGGGCAAATTCCAAACTCACTGTGATGATTCAAGACATCAACAACTTTCCAGAGAGCAGCCCATCAGGCAGGACCTGGAGATCACGGTCCCCTCCCTCCCAAGACAAGCTACGGCGAGGAACAAGTTACGCAAACCAGTGAATTGGTAAAGGACAAATGCAGCTGTAATCCGCAACTTAATTCTGGGAGTGACTTATTAATTGGACAATTACATAAACCCTGGATTTGCTTCTGCCTATGCAGAATGCCTGTCAACCAGTTTTACAATGCATTAAAAAAAAAAAAAAAGCAACAGCTTGCTATCTTTCTACCCCTCCTTCCCTCCCTCTCTCTCTCTATCCCTCAGATGGAGCCTCTGGGGACAGAGAAGTATGACTGGCTTGGTGGTCTTGGGGGACTTTGCAGTCTGTGGGGATGCATGTGGAGGTTCGGAGTGGAAGAGGGTTGAGGGGGCAAGCTGAGCATGAGAGGAATGACCAGGACAGAGGATGCTGTGGTGGCCCAAGCAGGACACTCAGAATCAGGTCAGGGTCAAATTTGGGTGGGCAACGAGGTTGCTCTGCTCCTGGCCAACAGCAGGTCTGCCTGCGAGGCAGAACTTCCTGGGTTCTGACCATTGCATAGCGTCTTCTGCACACTTCTCCAGGGAAGGTCGCACTGCCCTGCCCTGCCCAGCCCCACCACATTGCCTCCAGTTAGCGCCATCCTTGCTGCCCAACAGTCTTGAGTTCTCACACTCTGACAGCTGCCCCTTGGCAAGGGACAGCCTAGCGTCGGGGACGGAGCAGATACCTGGGGTTGTCGGAGAGCCACTCTGGGATCTGTGTCCTGTCGCATCTCAAACCTCAGCATCCTACCACAGTAGCTCCCCCAATTTCACCCCAGGTGCCTTTTCTGGATCCAAGCTTTGCCTGACAGTACACAGCTCCTGTGTGGCTGCTATACAGGAGTGGCCCCTGATGGCCAACAATGATGGAGATGAACCTGTCAGGTCAGTGATGGGTGCGTGTCGCTTGCAGGTCCTTCGGTTTGGTGACACTCTCTGTGGGCTCCTAGGACCAGCCTGCTCCACGAGTTCTTGCATATAGCTCAGTGGTCAATGGGAAGGCAGGTACCCTTGGTCCAGGCTGCAGACCTGGCCCTGATCTCCCTGAGTACTGACGCACACTGACAGCTCTGGGCTTCCCTCCCGGCCCCTCCCTTTATCCTGGGCAGAATCTCCAGGGACCCAGGCAGGGCCCAAGGCTGACCTCTCCCCTCCTCATCCCCAGACCTGTACTGCCACACTCCCCTCCCCACAGCCATCCTGAAGCGCCAAGCCACCTCTGTCACCATAAACCAGGTTCGCCCTGCCTGAATGGTTTAACCTCTTCCTCTTCTTTCCTAGTGGCCCTTGCTGCTCCTGAAGACTTGGCTTCTTGATGCTCCTCACTCCTGTTTGTCATCAGGAAACTCTGGGCTCATTCAGGTTCCTCCCGTCCTGGGCTCCTTCCCCACCTCCCCGCTCTGTGTGTGTGTGTGTGGTGTGATTTTCCTGGAGTCGTGCATGTGGCTCCATTGGACCAGCTCTGTGTCTCCCCCTGGGGTGGCTAGCAGCCCCCAAGCTCAGGAATCAGCAAGTGTGGCAGCACTTGGGACTCTAAACAGACGGGAGATTCCAGCCCAGAGCTGTTTCTGAACGAATTACAACTGAATCTCATAACGCAGCCAATCTCCTGGGGACTTGGGCAGAGCAGAATCTCCTGCTTTGCAAACTAGCCAAAAGGAAGACAAATGACAGTGAGCATGTAAGCATTGATATTTTTAGACACGGTGTATGGTTTGTGGCTTAAAATGCAGCCCAAGCAATGAAAGGCGCACAACTCCTCCAGGCGGAAGCTGTGGCCCTGAACCAGGCCCCGAC